TTTTGTGCGTACACGTTCACATTTTCCCTACTGGATATTTCAGATGAGTTATGTCTCTCGTCTATTCCCGCCATACTATAAGTACGCCGTATTTCTATTCGTTGGATTCCAATTTCTTTACTGTGCCTTTGTTCTCGCTATCAGGTATTGCATTTTGATCACAGAAAATTTTCATACTTTTTTATCACCACATAATGTGCTAATGGCAAAATCTTAGCAAATCTGGTCATTTCCCGTTATTGATTACTAGCAGTAGCTACCATGTTATCGGCATAAACACTCCTAAAGTTACTATTTTTTGATAGAGACAAACAAATTTCCCTTACCAGAGAAGTTGAAGCACGCAAAGATTGCTAAACACAGGATGGGTTGCTGTAACTCCTTTTCCAGATCTCTTTGACCTTAGTTATTTATTTTGAAATACTAACTTGAATTCAGTATTCTACTTAAAAACGGCTCTATTTTTATTGTCGTGAGATTGCTGTGTGCTACTTACGCGCTCGGGTAAGGCCAATTGGACGTTGAAAAAAAGTAACTCTTAAGCTAAAAACTTAAGATAGAGTTATTTGGTACACTGAACCTAACCCGGAAAACTAATTGACACGGTAAGAAAATCTACCAAGATTACGACAAAAACTTTACTCCTGCTGTAAAGCTATATACAACTGCAGACTGTAGCGTGCCGTAAAGGAAAGAGATGTAAGAAACGTAGAAATGAAGTTTAATGCTATTTAGAAATGAATGTACGGCACCTGAAAAAGGTTCGATAAAACGTGTTACCACAAACATTGATCTCATTTTATTGTGACATCCTGTAGCTAGGTAAATAGGGAAAGTTTATGGGTTTCTTTTATGGCTTCGTGTCCGTCATTTATCACCTTTTCTACGATATACTGAAAGCAGCATATTCAAACTTTCAGTTTAACATGCAGCTACAAACGGATTCATACAGAATGACCTAAATCTGTAAATGAGGAATTTGGTGAAAGCTTCCGTTATGATGTTTTACGTAATGCAGGATGTTACCAATGATTAAGATATGATTGAGCTGCCCCAGAGGTGCAATGTAGTGAACATAATCATATAAGTGGTACCGATTTTGATGGAAGTATAGGTTGAATGTCAAAAAATGCGATAACTGTGAGGTAGTTGCAAAAATTTAGCTCAAATTATGACTTAACCACTAATACAAAATATGAAGTTTTCAAAATGCCACAGTAGCATTACACTTTTTTTAGCGAAGCCTACTACAAATCCGCTGCATTAATCCTGCCAATAGCATATCGAATGTTCGATGATACTGTTAAAAAGAATGTACCGGGATTTGACTGGACGCCTGCGGAGCAGTCCCAACTCGAGATGGTTAGTGACCTTGTCATGTGGTGACTTGCTTAACAGTAAAGTCATGGTTTATGGCTGCCTTGTCTTTCGGGTGCCACCTCCGTTTGATATTCTAAAGATGGTTCTTTTATAGTACAAATACAAGATGATGGTTTTGTGGGTGGTATCGACAATTGGTGTCTTGCTGTGCATGATCATCATCATTCCTCAATTCTTTGATTTCAACGACAGGAGAGGGAATCCGAGTCATCTGGTTGGGTTGCCTTTCAAGAGTTTGTTTTCACAACTTGTTTTAAGTACTTATCACCTTCCAAACTAATAAAGTCATAGGTAAATGCGCTGCTAAGCTTTCTGTTCAATCACCGGCTCATCCAAACAGCAACACTCAATAAAAAAACAACCATTCTTGCTTCAAATTTTTCATCCGCAACTAATGTAACTAGCAATGTTTAGAATTTAATTTTAGCACATTTTGTTCCACGTATTCCCATTGTTCAAAATTTTCTGAACTTTAATTCTCTTACATTTTCTAGTATTCCTAATGTGAGCTGTCGCAAGTTGAAGCTGAGATAATGTAGTCGTAACAGTGTCTTAGTAATGAAC